AGAGCATAAATGATTAAGTGATTATCAGTGCATTGCTGTTACATGTTAGTTTAAGAGCCTGGATTTGTCACTGACTAATTTGGTAGTACTCAGAGCAAGTGACTTAACCTCTCTATGCTGTCCTTTAGATGACATAAAATCAAGGTCCTGTTGTAAATGACTGCAGTAAATAATGATGCAATGTTCACCCAGTTGTTTCTGAAAGATGGACGAAAAATGCTATTAAGATGATGATGCAGTATATACTTGTGCTTTGTAATTCAAAATATCCTAAAATATTCAAATCCAATTTTATTTTCAAGTATATAACATCCCCACAATATTAATATTGAAACATTATGTCAGGGACATATTAATATTGTTTTGTCTTTCATCTTTAATAAATATGTGTCTTTAATTATATAAAATCCAGTATTAGAAGACTAGTTAGTGTTATTAGTTAGACTAGTTATTAGTTAGTTATTAGTTATTAGTTAGACTAAAGGTATTTTTAAATGTAAACAGTCCTGCTCATTTCCAGTTCTCTATTATTAGCTTAAATACCAATTTAGACAGCGATTAACTCATGATGGACATTTAACAACTTAAAAAAATACACAGTGACTTCGTGTGTATTTAAAATGACTTTTCAAGTAATTGTGTATTACGTCATATACTGTATATTTACATTAAAACATGGACATTTATTATACAATTCTACTAGTTACTTTTATTGGTAAAACAAATGAGTTTCTGTCCTTCATATGCATTCAAAAGCATTTTCAAGAAGAAAATAATTTCTTGATATGATTCTTTGGTATCAAGTTCTTTACTTTGTTACAATTATGTCCTGCTTTATGAGACAGAAAAACCTTTCATTATGGAAAAATGATTGTGTTTATTTTAAATCGTCATAGAGATAAATATTTAGATAGGCAAGGGTGAGGCATTGAAAGAACGGCAAATCAGAAAATGCTATTACTATTTATTACTGTGTTATTTAAAAAAACATCCTCTTTTCTCTGCACATTTATCCAGTATATAAAACACCCTAATCTATAATTATATAAACAGATATAACTGTTCCTATCCTTAGATACAAAAATAAAACTTGAAGTAGATAACTTATATCAAGGCGTTTCATTTAACTGCAAGACTCATAGTTCACTAAAATATTTTTTCATGTATTACTATGTCACAACATATAGATATCTGTGCTTTTCTAAGAATATTTTGTAGTAAAACAAAGCATTTGTCTGTTATTGCCTAGTGATAAATAGAAAACATTATTCACAAATTATTATGAAAGCCATGGTTACCATGTTACTAGCTCAAGTTTCAATACTGCAAAGCAAAAAAAAACTTTAATTGCCTGCTGAAAAAAAGAAAATAATTATTTCAAAATAATTTAAGAAATGTTTAATTTCGCATCCATGTTCAGAAATGACATAATTCAGAAACTATTTAGAATTATTGAATGAGGTATTCAGGGAATTAATGACATTAACAAGAGTGTTTGAAATTATTGCTATGTTAATATACACTTTTACTAAAAAACTATTCTTTACATATACATTAAAATATATTATTGATATTAAATATGCTATTTTCACTGGGTTTTTTTCAATCTAGTTCGATCTCATCTGCAGAATATATTTTTAATTGCTTCTGACAGAAGGTTTTCAGGCTCATCATTATGCTGTTCACAAGTAGAGAATTATTTTCTAACGAGAGGATTAGCCAATCCCAGTGGATCTGCAGCCCATGCAAAAAGGAGAGGACTCTGTCCTCCTCTATCTTTCGGACACCAGGAAAATCTGAAAAACCTTCACTTTCGCAAAAGATTTGATTAAGTCAGACTACTAAACAGAAGGCAGTCTGTGGAAAGGGTGTCAGAAAGACAACACATGGAAATGAAATGGGTGATATTGAAAACTTTGACATGATCATCATTAATCCTGGGGAAACTGGGAAATGTTATTAAAATAAAAAGTGACAAAACAAAAGACACTTTTACACACTTGCTCAATTCTACTTGCACATATTGTTATGTATGTAGGTGTTGGAAACCTTTATCTGATTTTCATTTAATTTGAAGAACATGTAGTGAATAATATATTGAAAGTCATCAAGCTCTTTTTTAACTGTTTTTTTTTTTTTTTAGTTTTTGTGTCTTTGCAGTTTGTAAGCTGAAAAAGTAAAAATAAAGCGATTTTTTTCTTGGCATCCAAAAACTCTCACCCAAATCACAAAAACAATGATCATATTGATATTTTTATTTTAATTATCAAACAAAATGTGTTTTAGTGAGACATTGTGCTGTATTACAGAACAGCAAGTGTATAAAAAAGTGTGTTTTTTTCCCAGTGAAACCATTTAAAATCATAACGGTTGCATTTGGAACAATAATGCAGTCATTTTCTTGTGGGGTAACAGAAGCATTAACATGAAGTTATAAATTAATATATATTATTATTATTATAAAGTCAAAAACTTTAATTCTTACTTATTGAAAACATACTTATGGCAAGTCTTTACAAAATAGCTTTTCAAATACCTGGAAATTTTAGATTTGTTTTAGCTCCATTCCTGTAACTACTTTCAGTTTCTATGTACTGTATATAATTCTTACTTTTACTGGATATTACAGTATGGCAGTTTCAGGGTTACTGTCTGTGTTATGTCGTGGTGTACACAAACAAACTTGAAATGTCAAGGAATTCCCTCACCAGCTTCATGGTAAATTTTCCGAACAATGGAAAGTTACTAACATTTTGTTTTTCATTTTCAATTTCCATTCACTTTTTAAAAAACAGAAATGCTTGATTTGATTTTGTCAAACATGTTTCAAGATAATTACCTGACCATTAATCATCAACTGTTGTTATAAATATAATTACTCTGGGATCAATGTAAGCAGTTTTCAATGTTTCTTTGCAAAGTTCCAGATATCAGATCATCATACATCAGTGGCACCCTTGTATTAAACATCTGGCACCATTTTTTTACTTCAGCAACATTAATAATGTTTTATTATTTTAGACTTTTTTCAGCCAAGTAAATTACGAAACAAAACCACAACCAAAACAGACTTGTTCCCAGAGAATGATAGAACAATTTGGTATGTCTTTGTAATTGAATTGTATCAACATAACACTGAAATAATTTACAAAGTTGTTTAGGTTATTTATATTCATACTGCATAATATACTAATTGTAATATTAACCATCTAGACAAGGAAAATTGTAAGAAAAAATCACAACTTCAAATTCTGTTAATGTATTTATTGCATGAGATATAAGTTCAGGAAAACTACTCAGCTACACTTTAAAAAGTTTTAAATAGATGTGTGTACAGAAATTCCTTGCATACATATTTGTCTTTCATATTTTTTTTTGTTTGAGCTCCGTAAGCAGCATGTAAATAAAAACAACAAGTACAAATTACAAACACAAATCCTTACCAGTTTTCTGATCATTTCATCCTATTCAAATATTGCAGTAAGTACATGAAAGTATAAAGCTTATATATAACATGGTTCCTATTTATATAAAGCCATACTGTCTACAAAACAGCTGCAAACTATTTAAACTGTAAGGAAATGCAGCTAAAGTGCAATCCATTTCTTTTCCAGGCGATTTTCTACATCTTAGGTTTTTACCCATAAAACTGTGAAATGGTAACTTTTAAAGTATTTGCCTTTAATAGTGTACTGACCTTTGGGAAACTGAATTTCAACAGCTGTAGCAATTTTCCACGAATTACACTTTTAGCACAACGCGTTAATACCCCCTAAGTCATATATTACAAAAATATTACTTACCAATTACAGAATAAAGGGGGAAATGCTGTATATAGGCAAACAAATGCGCTATTAAAGTTACATGGCGTGAGTGGAACGTCTTTAAACTTCATCTTCAAGAGAGACAGCAGATGTGAACTTTTCATATACAGTTACAAACATACCAACACAAATCCTAAACTATAAACCCAGCTCTCCTCTACAGACATTTGCAGATGTGTCTTTTTCTTGAGGGGGGGGGTGGAGGGCGATGACCTGAAAACCGAACCGAAACTGCAGCGACAGAACTGTCTTTCCTTCTCCGAGGAGTCGCCTTTAAGGGTATGCGCTGATGATATTCGTGTCCCTATTTTGGCCTCTTAAAGTTGCTGTTGTTGCTGCTTTCCCTTTTAATAACGCACCAAGACCGTCTCCCTGTCCTAATTGAGCGCATCATCCACCTGATTTCATTTCGGTTTCCCGTTATGAACATAACATTTTTTTTCGTTGGTTGTGCCGAAGTTCTTATTTTGCGTGTAACTTATTTTTATATTGGGAGAATTTATGCTCTTAGACCGGATATTTAGGCATCGCGTAGTATTCTGGGTACCGATACTGAAATGTGCGACATACCTATTGCATATATTTTTGGTCTTTAATTCTCCAGAAACAGACATTATCCCACGTTAGAACCGGCGTAGCGATTGTGAGTATCCGTGTAATAAAGCCAGAAATGGGTGTGAAAAGTGACAATACTGCAAAAGGTTCTTCATCCCGGCTTGAGGGGTTAAAAAACGGAACGTTGTCTTACATTTGTTAATTGGTATGTATACAACTTTTCCTCTGATCAGGGGGTGCATTTTTATAGTCTGCCAAAGAAATAATGTTATATAAAGTCCATGTGCTTTGTTATCAGAAACAAAGTAGTAGAAAGTGAAAGGCGCCCCGTTGGCGAGTTGTCTTTTTTTAAAACACTGTTAAAAATTTCTGATCTTTTTTTTTTTCGTATTTTTATGGAGCCCCAGGCTTGCGTCTATATATAGACTGTGTTTAGTCCCATCAAATTACAGGTATCCAGGTAACCGACTAATTTCAGCAGAACATTTGGTTATAGTTTAAAAGAAAGTCGTTTCTGTGTTTAAATGCCAGGTTGCATTACAAGGGCATTGCTATCAAATATGCTGAAATATTTGCCGCAATTTAAAAAAGCTGATCTGAATTAAATATCTCTTGACACTAACCCAGTGTAGTGCATGGGGGGCATTGAACCTGAGATCTGGGATGACAGCGAGCCTGTGTCAGTCTCGTTTCCAATACAGCATTGTGCACAGAGGAGCTTTGAAAAGCTTGGTACATCGGCCAGTGCGTCCAATAAACTTTGTGGCCGCCCAGCTTTTTTTCCCCTGTGGTGATCCCTGCTTTTGACACTGAGACAAAAAGAGAGAGAGAAAGAAAGAACTTAAGAATGCAAAAGAAGCAAGGAGGCATAGAGAAAGCAGAAGGAGGCGGTTTTCCTTTGTAGTCACTGAGGAATGCGGAAATGTTCCTGCTCTATGTCAAACTTCTCTGAAGGGGGTCAAGACACATTCAGCCTGCGTGGGAAAGGGAAAAAGAGCCGGAGCTCACAGACAACATTGCATATTCTGGAATAGGACAAGAAAAGAAAGAAATTTCGCTAGGAAAAAAAAAAAAGAACTTTGCAGTTTAAAGGGTTCATCCATACACTTTGATCTCAAAAAAGGTTTTGCACTTCCACTGTTTTTCTGTGTGAAAGACGAATACCCCCCCTTTTTTTTAGATCTGCCTGAATTGCTGCTGCTGGAGAATGGGGGTCCCAGCGTTCACTGTTTCTCTACCTGTGTGGCCCTGACTAGGACAGTAAGGGATCTGTGAAGTATTTGCAAACTTCCATTCACAAAGGACGAGCTGGTTCATCGCAGTTTATAAAGGACGTGCAGAACGTTGCGTCCTTGCGGAATTTTCTGTCCTAAATGATATCGATCAGGTAATTTGATGTCATTGGATGACAGCGTAAAATGTTTGTGCAATTAATTGTGTATATATATATATTACATTACATTCATTAAACGCGCACACAAATGTACACGTACCTTGGCTGGTACTTTTGCCTTTAATGTTCTGTTTTGAGAATTGTGGGGTTATTCGATAAACTGTATAAAGATGCTGTAAATACGGAGGTGTGGTTTAATAAACTGCATTTTTAAAGTGGTCGATCAGAGCCACGTTTTAAGAATACCACGTCCTGCATTTGTAAAGAATGTAGGAAAAGGGACTTGATTGCATACGGGCTGATCAGATGATAACTTGGGCTTACTGCTGGCTTTTTAAATTTATCGAACAATACCATGCACACGGAGCCACGTGCTGAACCGAATTATTTTTAAGCAGCTCACATTTGGAAAGCCTAAAGGCGAAAGAGGTGGCTGTAAACCTTCAAATTTGCGCTATTGAAATATTCAGTCTGATTTATTTTCGTCTTTTTTTTTTAAATTCAAATTCTAGTTCTCGGGAACAAAATAGAAACATGTACGAAGCGCACCTCTGGTACGCTTCTCCGTCACTTGCATTGACAGTATGAAGCTCTATTGTAATATGTGTAGCTGCTGTGCAAAAGCTTTTGAATTGGGGAAGATGTGAGCAAGACTCGAGCTGATATGCAGAACAGCCTAGTGGGAGTGTCAGGTAAATTCAAAGAAGATCTTATTTTAGAAGGGGCTAAAAGAAAGCCACATATCCTTTACTCTGCACGTTTTGTGGATGTAACGTTTTTTTTTTCTGATCGACTAATGCGCTTTTTTTTTCTTCTGCTTTTCTCAAACAGACTTCGATGATGCTAGATCTGCTCTTCTGATGATGTCTTCTTCGTAACATTTCAAGGTGCCTGACGGGGTTTGTCAGATTAGTTGGTTTGTTGTTGTTGTTTTTTTTACAAAGTTGCAGCACGCTGTAAAATGGAGAAAGACAGTCTGACTCAACAGTATGAGCCTGTTGCTGAGATTGGGGAAGGGGCGTACGGAAAGGTATACAAAGCACGGGATCTGAAGAACGGGGGCCGTTTCGTTGCCCTTAAAAGAGTCAGGGTGCAAACCGAAGAAGAAGGAATGCCACTTTCTACCATCCGCGAGGTGGCGGTCCTGAGACAGCTGGAGTCCTTCGAGCACCCCAACGTTGTTAGGTAAGGGGGAGGATATCTGAGTTGGGAGATTAGAGGGGGTATCCCCAAAGCTGCCTGCATCAGCTGGATTTATGAGAATAATGATTCCGTATGAAATGTTATTACAGTGCATATACTCGTTGCATTTCGTTTGAAGACTCATTAAATCAGAGTTTAGTGAAAGTTTCATTTAACTTTTCTCTCTAAAGTCCTAGGAAAATGCAGTGATAAACAGAAGGTGTTTATGTTCTTGTGTATGAAAAGAAAATTTATCGGAAATGTACTGTATGTATGAAAGCATAAAACCATTTACCAGATTACTCGAGCTGTTTTTTAAGAGAATTTCTGAAATCTCATTTACATTCCCACAGAAGTTTTATTTTCAAACTGTTTTTAACAGTTGAACAGGTGAATGTTATCATACTAAAATGTCAGTATGTTTTGAAAACTTCCACCTGTGTAACTTATGTGTTTACACTAAGTGTTTCTGTGGTGTGAGATGCCTGTTGTACATGCAGGACTTTCAATCAACCTGCTGTCTGCTTAATTTCCCAGACACAGATCAGTCTTAAGCTTTGTCATTTAGATTGCACACAAACACTGTTCTTTTAAGATCTAAAATTGTTAATTTTTGCAAACTCATCTGACCTGAAATGAATGCTAAACTAAGAACACAGCTGGCTTTCTGTGTCTGTAATTCTTTTATTTAGTATTGCACCCTTTGGCGATATTAACAGCCTCTTTGACATTGTATCCAAAAACGTCACATAGGTGTTTTATATGTTTTCCTTTCCGATGTATGCACACATGTGCTGATGTATGTTTGGTACTCCTGTTAGGAGTCCTGCACAAAGATTTATTCCTTACGGCTGAGGTCTGGACTTTGAGGGTGTCATTCCATATGCTCTGTTTTTGCCCGATTAGCCTCACATTGTTTGAAAGGGTGCTCGAGTCGGTACATTTGTGGAGTATGAATTACTGGCCAATCAGCTGCTTTTTAGATGGGCTGGCGTGACCGACTAATATAGTGCTGTTGTACTGACACCGATCCAGATTTCCATCTTATAATGTGAATTTGACCAAGACAATTTGCATATATGGCAGCCAAAACCAGCACAGACCTTACTCCAAGTTTGACTCTTGGTACAAGGACCTCTTTCTTCCACCCCGCAGGGACTCGTCAGTGAAAATACACATGGCGATTGGAACCAAACAGGTCAAAATTGCACTTACTAAGTCCAGAGAACCTCTTGCCAGAACCCTGAAGACACTTCCACAATTCCACACATTGTTTCGACATTGTCTTCTTTTTCCTCGCTGCCTCTCCTTCCTTCAGGTCACATCTCTGTATCCTTGTGCCTGTTTTTCTTGAAACTTCATCTCTTCATGACGTGGAAACCTTATCAGCCAGGTGCTTTCCAGTTCGAGTTATATATGGATGAAATATTACTTTCTTAAAGCTATTAGCAGTGAGATTGATTTACAGCGCTCTTTACTTTTGCAAAGGGTTTACCCCTGTGCTGGTTGAACACTCGAGGTGTTTTCGAACCTTCAGAGAACTCCAGGATCATGTCAAGAGTTGGCTCTAATGTTGTCAGGGGACAGCTCTCCCCTTTCTGAAACTGTAATTTTATCTCAAAGTGAATGTCAGTAAATTGTGTCAGCTACACTGGACCTTATTTTGCAATGAAGCCTTCCTTTATATAGATTGCGTACCTGCAGGGCAACTACAAAAAGTGTGAGAAGTTCAAGATTGGTCATCAGTGGCAGAAACAATAATAAACATGGGTGTGAAAATTGTAGGCAACTGTTTTGATCAAGTGTCTTAAGAACCTTCTAAGAAATACCAGATATGCTGGTTGTGGTTATGTAATGATGTTCTTGTGATTTTCGGTTAATTGCATGTGATGCAAAATTACAACTCACCTTAAATAAAACAATCAATAATTTGCCCATTTGTACAAGTTTACAAGCTTACAGGACTTTGAAATGTGCTAGCTTAATTTCACATTTGCAATAAATTACTACAGGAGCAACTGTTTTTTTTAATATACTAAAATAGAGAATAATGTTAAATCCATTACCTGTAGTTAGTCTCTAGGGCTCTAGTCTCTTGGTCTTTTCTAAGTGCTTCATCCAAGTCAGTGGGGAGCTGGAGTGTAGCCTTGCAAGCAACAGGCACAAGGCAGGATACACTTTTGATGAGACGCTAGTTCATTGCAGGCACACTAACTCTCACCACGGCCAGTTTTCCCACAGGCCAATTAACCTACCAGTCTGTATGTGTTTGGACTGTGGGAGCAAACCACAGCTCAAAAGACACAAGTGTTTTTTATATCAAATGTTTAAGATGGAAAGCAATCATCAGAGGGGTTTTACATGCATAATACTGTATGTGCAGTTTAAAAAACAGCAAAACCAATAGTTGCATAACCTGACTTTGTGCAGTGTTACAATTATAAGAATATTTAGAATGCTGAAGGACTACCAGCAAAATGTTCTGTTGCAAGAGTAAACCCTGGTTAAAATCCCAAGTATTTTAAAATTAGCAAGATCAATAATTTGCTGAGGAGAAGCATAAAAATAATGTTGCAATAGCTAACGTACAGAAAATGCACAATTTACAGACGTTTTAGATGAAGACAATAGCCTTCTGCCTTGTATTCCAAATTATATTACTCTAAAGATAGAAACAATCAGTACACAGAAAACCTATATTGTAGAGCATTTATAATGTGTCTCCAGCACCTGATGAGTTCTTAAGAAGATGTTTCTGTTCATATAGTACAGCCTTTAAATCTGATGTTTAGAAGACATGGCAAATTGGGCGTATTTCAACTATTATATTCTTAGAAAGCATTTGATATAGTACTGTACATCACAAAGATTTTCTTCTTAAATCTGCATAAATAAAGAACATCAGTACTTGGTGCAAAAAGTTTCAGGAGCTTTTTATAACCTAGTGATCTTGGGAGGAAATGTCATGATTTCTGGAATATGTGAGCAGCTAGAACACATTGAGTTCTTATCCCTTGTTCTGGGGGTAAATAGTAAAATTGTCCAGTGATTTTATAAAGGAAGGGAATAGCTGTCATTTAATACTTTTAATAGATTGGTAATGTCAACACCTATGGACACATAGAGAAGCAACTAAATAGTCATGTAGAACCATCAGGAAAATAAAAAATATCATAATTTCATCAGGCAGGGTGACATTTTACAGTACCCTCTCCAGTTCAAATAGACAGTGAACAATGAATATGAACAGTGTAATTCATGCAGAACACTGTTATAAAAAGGATGCACAGTAAGTGTATGTTTGTGTTGGGGCAAGTCAGCCTATTCCCTGGAAGAAGAGTATTGAATCGTGATATAAGACTCAAACAGCCAAAATATTATGAACCCATAGTTGGGAGTGGACTAGTGATTAATTTGGTTTAAGTAAACGTGGAAGCAATGGAAGAGATCAATTCCTGCAGTTCCTACCAATGGCACACAAGAGAAAGGTTTATTAGTATTGAGTGTTTATTGACTGGTGTAGTTCATCAAGATGGGTTGCTGAGCCCAGAATGGAAGGTTTCATCAAGTGTCAGTCAGCTGTTATATTAGAAGCAGTTCTACCACAGGAATCAAGTGAAGGCTGCTTTTCTTCTGGATTTCTTGTTTACATATCTCTGTAAATTAATTGCTTGCATGTATTACATCCAAGTCCATTTATGTTTTGAACTATCGCATTTACAAATGTTTAAGCCAGTCATGACATTCATTTATTAAAGTCACTTTTACTTTATTCCCTGCTGTGAAACATCAATATACTGTAGGTAGAGACTACATCTTTGTATGTCTTAAGAGGACATCCCTGACTTGAAAATATTAAAATCTATTGAACCCAGTGTCTTTGACAGACATTTTTTTATTCAGCTGTCTGACTTTAATCAGCTGCCTGTGAAACTAATGATTTCCCTGTAAAAAAATCTCCCTTTTCAACGTTCTAATTACAATTACTTTACTTTTTAATTCCCATGATCTCTTTAGATTGACAGAGGAATATTGGACAATATGTGTTGAAGAATAAGATAATAAACTTACCCCTTTAATATTACAGTAATTTAAGTCTTGTTGCAGTTTTATTTCTATTCATATGTTAGCATATGTAAACTAATATAAACAACGTATGAATGGTGTGAGGGACATTGTAGTTTTACAGTGAATTACAATTTTGGGTCAATTAGTATATAACTTTGAGACCTAGTTTAAGAAGCAGTGCTGAAGACTATCAAGAATATAGACTTTGAGTATTAAATGTGTCAGAATTTTTCTTCTTTAAGAAATTTCAGGTTCCGATTATTTGAAAGTGATTATTTTAAAGCCAAGCTGTGTTATACTGTACATGCTTATTTCTTTACCACCTCAAGCCAGGTAAAGATGACTGGCTAACCACTTACTTAGAAGATACAGAGCTGCACAAGAGGCATCTGGCACATGGAACAGGAGAAGATAACAGATCTGGGGGATTTGTTCACTGCTGTGGCTGAAACACTAGAAAAATAAAAGGTGGCTATTAGTTTACTTAGGTATTCATTCCTTGTGTGTAAATCCAAAATGTGTATGTAGTCATACATTCTGAGGACTGTCACAGTATCTATTGTAAGCCAGACACCTAAGGTGGTCATCATGCTATTCACAAAGGAATTAGCTGCTTTTTTGTTTTAGTTCTCCCCAGAGATTGTTTTAAGATCTGTATAGGGACCCCCGAGAAAAAGACTGTTTTGTAAGGAATCGTCTTTGTGACATTTTTTTAACTTTATGACAAAATATAGAAGAGAAAGGAGGCCCACTTGACCCCTTTAGCCTGCTTGGCTGGTAGGAGCAAATTGATCTGAGTGTCTCGTCAAGCTATCATCACTGGCTTTGACAACATGTCCCACCACCCTTTGTGTGAAGCAGAGACTCCTGCTCTCTCAATGCTGATGGCATATTAAAGCAAACTGTCCATGTTCTGCCATCTCTCTAGGATGTTA